CTGAACAGTGTCGCCCCCCCCATCTCTCTAATTTGCTACAACCGTATGTCCCACCACGTTCCATGAGGTCAGCGGACCAGTTGCTCCTCACAGTTCCAGGAACTCGTCTTAAGCGCAGAGGTGACAGGGCCTTCTCTGTAGCAGGACCAAGACTTTGGAATGAGTTACCTCTGCTTGTCAGACAGGCCCCCTCCCTCTCGGTTTTCAAGTCCCGTTTAAAAACTCACTACTATTCAATAGCTTTCAACACAAGATGATCTGTGTTTTGATCCTGTATGCTCCACACTGGTTTGTCGTCATTATCTGCATCGTTTTTATGTCTATATTCTGATTTACCTCATTTTGTATTTTGCTTTGTGTGTTACCTGTTGTTTTGTCTGTACAGCACTTTGGTTGGCCTTGTAGCTGTTTTAAGTGCTTTATAAATAAAGTGGTATGGTATGGTATGGTATGAAGGTGGTTTTGTATGGCAAGCCAAGTGTCTCATTAATAGCCACTTTTACCTGTTAATGAGACACTTGGCTTGCTATTAGGGGTGCACCGATTGTAGTTTTCTGTTCGATTGCCGATTTCTAAAAAGTCTGAACTGCTGATTCCGATTTTGGCCGATACCGATTTTGTTTTATAATCGACACTGTCAGGTGTTATAAGGTCACAATGCACCTTGAATTTTCAACCTTATTTTTTTTAAAAACAGACCCTTGAACAATATCCTAGAAATAATACAAACTTGTTTTAATTGGCCATGAGGTAGTGCTCTGAAATATAAATGAATTTCAGACAATTGTTGTTAAAACAAAAAAAAATGGTAAAATCGGTTTCTCATGCAAGTATTGGCCGATTTCCGATTTTCCCAAATTAAGGAAATCGGGCCGATAAATCGGTACACCCTTACTTGCTATATTAGTCGGGGGCCCTCTAGTGGTTGAAAATGTTAGTGTTCAATATTTTCCATGTCAGAATGAATGGAATTGTCAGATCTCTGCCAAAAATTGGTTATAAATATGAGAGGAAAAAAAACAAATATGTAGCTTCGCTGTATAAGTCGCAGGGCATGTTAATTTATCAAAAAAACTGCGACTTATACAGCAAAATCTATGGTATATTAACCTCATTAAGAAGAACGTGATAAATTCATGTTTGTGTCAGTATTTCTTCCTTTATGTGTAAAATTTCTCTGTGGGGGGTGGAATTCAAAAATTGACGAAATATTAAATTGAAGGAACATTTTTGCTGGACTTTTCCATTCTCGTGACATGCAGCAATATGACGGGGGGGGGGGGGGGGGGGGTGTCACCATGACATGAGAGGAGGGCCTTAGAGAAATTTGTTTCAGATCACATTTAAAAGAGGAATCTTTTTTAAATGTAAATTCTGTTTATTTTTGTGTTTTGTATTTATTTATTGGCTCCTCATTAGCCACTGCTGTAACAATGACTACTCTTCCTGGGGTCCACATCATAAAAAAACATTTATTACAAAGACAGTTACACACACTTAATACAACATTAGTAGCATAGCATAATATGATAATTAATTCATAAATGTGTAATTATAACACTTTATATAATAAAATATTTTAGCAGGGCTCTTTTAAAAGCTCTGGCAGTTGTTACATTTAACACAGATGAAGGAAGAGAGTTCCATGTTTTCATTCCTCTAAAAATATCAGTCTTTTGTCCAGCATTCCTGTAGCATGGTGGAAGAGTAAAACAAACTTTTAAAGCATGGCTTGTATTAAAATTGTGTAAAGTTTGTTTAAATAAAAGTCGATTATATAAAACATTTTGTATCTTAGATACCACAATGTTTCTAAAAAAAAGCACTAAAGGGCAATTTCAACCTAATTTTTAACCAAAGGCCAACTTAATGCTTTGTGCATACTGTATGATAATATTGGTATATATGGAACAATTCAATGTAGGACGAGCTGCTCTATTTTGGACCAATTGAACTGAATTAAATGAAATGAAACTGTGTTAATATTTTTGAGGGATTAATTTTAATGTTATATAATGTAAACATCTTTTTATAACAGCTAGTTGTGTTCCCATCACTGCAACAGTGCAATTTGCCACGACCACTCCAACCTGCTGTCCATAATAACTCCCAGAAGTCTAATTTCTTCTACTTGAGTAATGGCTCTTCCATTTATAGACAGGTTTAGTTTCAGATGAGTTTTTAATTTCCAATTTGATCTAGATATCATGCTTTTGGTTTTAGATAAGTTTAAAACTAATTTATTTGTATGCACGCAATTTACAACTTGCTTCAATTCGCTGGCCAAGGTGCTGGACAGTGTCTCAACAGATGAACCTGACATAGATATTGTGGTATCATCAGCATAGATCACTGCACTGGCTTGCTGCAGAACAAAAGGCAGGTCATTAGAAAATCTGACTCTAACTTTGTGTTTCTCTCACAGGAAAGAAAACATTTTGCAACATCAATAAAAGCAAGGAGCTCACAGCCATGGTGCACTCCGAAGACCAGGTCCAGCGAGAAAGGAAAACCAAGTCAGGAGCAGAAGGGGTCGCAAGGTGAACGACGGAAGGCGGCACGCCAAGTCTCAAAGTGTAAGACGGATAAAGTGGCACCATCTTCAGCTACGCAGACGCCTCATCGTGAAGACGCTCTTTGCAGAGATTTGACAGAAACGGAGCCATTGGTGACGAGGGATGAGAACACCAGGACTGAAACCGAAACAGGAAAACGAGTAAAAGGAAAGACAAAACAGCTTGGTAATGGGAGCATTAAGAAACTAAATCCAAAGAGAGACACACAAAGGGACAGAGACCCTCACACTGACGTCCTCCATGAGGACGGGCAGAGCAGTTCAGGAAATGCAGAATGCAGCCACGAAAGACAAAAGCTCCCTCAGAGTGACATTAATAATGATACACCGTGTTTAAAGAAGAGAAAGAAGAAAGGGGGCAGAGGAGGGTGTGAAAGTGTAGAAAAAGGGGCGGAGCAAAGTCAAGCAGAGACGGAAGGTAAACCTGAAGAGCACCTTCCCAGTCTGTTGGAGGACATCAACGTGACAACTGTTCCCCATTCAGAACCAGAGAAGAAGAAACCTGCAACAGCTGGCAGACAGGACCAGTCTGCCCAGTCCATGGAGGAGCCTTCTGGAGTGATCAGTCAGGCTGACTGGAAGAAGAAAAAGGATGTTGATGTGGAAAGTAGAGATGCCAACGAAACTGCTGAACCTCCAGCTAACCAAGTCAACGTACAGAAGAAGAGAGACTTGAACGAGCCTTCGGATCTCTCTCAAACACCAACAGAACGTCCAGGAGAGGTGGGAGCTGATTCTGAAGATACTGAAGCTCCTCAAGAGACGTTAGGATCGAGTTTCACTAAAAGAAAGAAGAAGAAGAAGAAGGAACTTCCTGATTCTTCTGACAAAGATGTGAACTTTTGCAACGGCGCTGTAACAAACGCAGACCTAACAGTTAAAAAGAAGAAGAAGATGGTGGATGTCTCGCACACAGCCGAGGAAGATGAGAGTGTAGATAATACACAGACAGAGGAGCGAGAGACTGAACGGAGGACGAAGAAGAAGAAACGGAAACAAAGCTGGTACTGCGAGGACACCACAGCACTGGCTGAAAATTCTGTGTTTGTGCGGAAGAAGATAAAAGGTCCTTCCTTCCTCCCTGCTGATGAAGAGGAAAATGGCGCTGAGGCAGAGCGCAGCCGTTTACAGTCTAAAGCTGAAAAGCCTGATGTCAGCGCCAACGGTTTAGCTGCGACATCAGAAGAATTTCCTGAAAGTTCGGCTGAATCAAAAAACAGGGTTAAGAAAAAGAAGCAGAGGTCAGCTGAGCAGGACTGTGTGAAAGGAGAGACGGAATGGGAGGAACCAAAGGAGACGGCTGAACCCGAGGTCAAGAAGAAGAAACGTAAGAGGAAAGACAGCGAGATGATGAGTCCAACAGAAAAATACGTGGATGAACTGCAAGCTGAAGAGGACGTTCCTCTGAAGAAGAAGAAGAAGAAGAAAATCCCACCAGCTGCCACTGAGGATGCTGAATCAGAACTCACTTTAGATTCACCCAAGAAGTTAAAAAATAAAAAAGCTGCAGATAAACTTTCTCTCCTAAACAAAAAACCCTTTCCTAAAACTGCTGATTCAGAGGCACATAAAAGTCAACAACCAGGAAGAACAGAGCCAGACTTTAATTTCAGCTCTGCCTCTGAAACGTCTCGTATGAAACAGAAAAAGAACAAGAAGAAAAGACTCCACCATCCAAATCAGGACTTTCTGTTTGACCTTTAGTGCAAGGTTTCTGTCTGAGAGGATTTTAAATGAGAAGGAAAATGGAAATACTTTTTTTACATTTTACTAGATTTATTTTTTACTAGAACATATTTTTTCAAGCATGGAACTGGAGCAGTAATGTCATTACTGTTTTACTGAGTTTTGTATCACTGCTTTTAATCAGGCTCTTTAAAGGCCTGCTTTCTGTTATGTTCAAAAAGTAACTTGATAGTTTTGATTTCAGTTCGCAGCATGGTGTATTTTATTTGGATGTGGAAATAAAAGACACCAGCCATTGAATATTTCTTTTCTGAAGAGCCATATGTGATTTAATCAGTGTTAAAAAATAAATAAATAAGCTACTGGACCATATACTGTAATAATTTTTATCTCAATAACAGCAGTTAAACATATTTGTTTTGAACTAGCTGGAAATACAAAACATCCTAAAAGAAATTATCTATAGGCTGGGTCCTAAAAGAAATTATTTCCTGTTCACAAAATAAAAATAACACATAACATTCCTGTCCAAAATCCTGGAGAAAATAGTTTTCATTCAATTAAACAAGTTTTTAAATGAGAACAGAATCTTCTAAATTTTTCAACCTGGCTTTAAGCAGCTCCACAGCACTGAAACAGCATTAGTAAGGGTTTGTAATGACATTATGATATCAAACGATCCTGGTCAATTTGTGGTACTTGTGCTCCTGGACCTTACTGCTGCTTTTGATACTGTTGACCACAGTATCCTTAAATCACGGCTGGAACAGTGGGTTGGGATCACAGGTGCTGCATTAGAATGGTTCCGCTCATACCTGAGTGGCAGGAGTTTCTGTGTCAAGGTTGGTAATAATATATCCGCCTCATTACCTCTTTCTTGTGGGGTCCCACAGGGTTCGATTCTTGGACCCCTTCTGTTCTCACTTTATTTGCTCCCACTGGGGTCCATCCTGAGGAAACATGGTCTTTCATTCCATTGCTATGCTGATGACTGTCAGATCTACCTGCCTGTGAAACCAGCAAGTGTTTGCTCCATTCACCCTCTGTTAAAATGTCTGGACGACATTAAGGCCTGGGTGGCTTCAAATTTCTTAAGTTTTAACAATGACAAGACTGAAGTCATTGTTTGTAGCCCTAGCTCAACTGCCACCACTGGTCCTGTCAACCTGGACTCTCTTCAGCCATATCTGAAGCAGTCTGGTAAAAATCTCTAGGATGGTTTTAGACTCCGACTTCAAGTTTGACAAACAAATCAACTCTGTTTTGCAGAAAAGCTTCTTCCAACTCAGACAGGTAGCTAAGCTCAAGCCAGTATTGTCCAGACCCGACCTTGAGAAACTAGTCCATGCCTTTGTCGGGACCCGATTGGATTATTGCAATGCACTGTATGCTGGGATCAGCCAGGCCTCCATTTCACGTCTTCAGCTCGTCCAGAATGCTGCTGCTCGGCTTTTAACCGGAACTTGTAGGTCTGAACATATTACTCCAGTTCTGTCCTCCCTTCACTGGCTCCCTGTTCGTACGAGGATAGTTTTTAAAATTCTTCTGTTGACCTTCAAATGCTTAAATGGCCTCGCACCCCTTTATCTCTCTGAGCTTCTGGAACCTTACATTCCCTCTCGGGCCCTGAGATCATCTGATCAGCTGCTTTTGGCTGTTCCAAAAACAAGACTGAAGCTCAGAGGAGATCGGGCTTTTTCAGTCATGGGCCCCAAACTCTAGAACAACCTTCCCCCCAACATCAGGCAGACCACCTCCATTCCTCACTTCAAATCCCTGCTAAAAACATATCTGTTCTTGCAAGCATTTCACACAGTGTTAATTGATTTAGTGTTTTTTAATCTGTGACCCTATGTTTTAAATGCTTTTTTTTTAATTCTTCAGTTATTATTAGTGTATTGTATATATATGTTTATATATTTTTCCCTTTAATTTACTCATTGATTGTTGTTGTTAAGCACTTTGATAACAGGTTCTGTTTTAAATGTGCTCTATAAATAAAGTTCCATCCATCCATCCATCCATCCATCCATTATCTTTACCTGCTTATTCCATTTTGGGTCACTGGTGCCCATGTCCAGCAATCACTGTGCGAGGGGCGGGGGACACCCTGGACGGGTCGCAAGTCCATCACAGGGCCACACAGAGACAAACGAGACAAACAACCATTCACTCTCTCACTCACACCTAGGGACAATTTAGAGTTACCAATCAGCCTAACGTGCATGTTTTTGGTCTGTGGGAGGAAACCCACGCATGCACGGAGAGAACATGCAAACTCCACCCAGGAAGGCCCCCGGACCGGGGTTTGAACCAAGGACCTGCTCGCTGAGAGGCAGCAGCTCTACCAGTTGTGCCACTGTGCTGCCCTATAAATAAAGTTGACTTGACTTTACTTAACATTCATCTATCCATTATCTTTACTTGATTCTTCCTTTTTGGGTCACGGGGGTCCATGTCCAGCAGTCACTGCGAGAGGCGGGGGGCAGGTCTCCAGTCCTTCACTGGGACACATCGAGACAAACAACCACTCACTCACACCTAGGGACAATTTAGAGTTACCAATCAGCCTAACATGCATGTTTTTGATCTGTGGGAGGAATCCGGAGAAAACCCACGCATGCACGGAGAGAACATGCAAACTCCACCCAGAAAGGCCCTCGGACCGGGATATGATTCCAGGCTAACCTGCTCGCTGAGAGGTGGCAGCTCTACCAGTTGTGCCACCATGCTGCAAAAAATAAAAACACTAACAAAGCATGAAAAAGTAGTGGACAGATCCTGAAGGACCGTCCCATTCCCTCCAGGACTACAAAGCTCTGTCCCAAACAGACTAGGAAAACCCTCCGTCATAAAGAACGCTCCAGTTCAAGTCAAGTTTATTGTCATTCTCAACACGTGGTACATGAGGTGGAATGAAATTATGTACTTAGTACACCCAAAAATTGCAAAAAAAAATATAAAGTATAAATAGAAACAGCAAATAAGGATCTAAGATATACATTAAAGATATACGCTAAACACTAATGTAAAACAACACAGGGAGGTCATTCAGTTCTCATCTCATTGTTTAACAACTCATATTTTTGTTTCTGTGAAAAAAACTATCAGAAATGTACAAAACAGTTATTCATTTATCCAATTTTAAAAATATGTATTTGAGTTGGGCATGGCGGATCAAGGCACAGAGTTGCCACTGTATAAATATCTTGCTTCCACCCTAGTTGTAGGTTAGGCAATCTAATTTGATCTGTTCTGTACATCAGTGAAAGTCAATAACACATGAACCTGTCAGTTTGCAGCTCAGACACTTTGAATTTCAGAATGGTCTCACTCACCAACTGCACCAGGACCTTTAACCAAGCAGCTGCAAAAAGGGTTTTAAGATGACCTAATCGTCTGTTAACCACTGGTGATTTCTACCCCCCTGAGCAGAAGGTCATGGGTAAAACATACTTGTCAACTGTCCTGAGTTGGACAGATTTGTCCCACTGTCTTGCATGAGATGGGGAGGGACACCTAAATGTCCCACATTGGACAAGTGCTGGCTGGGCTTACCTGTTCATGCATCTGTCTGGGAGGAGGGACAACATTTTGTTCTTGAAATACAGATTTTTTTTATTCATTGATCATCTTTGTTGAGTAGGTTAAATATTGCTTGGAGGTTGTGTGTGCACACTCTTGCTTTAATGTGGTGGTGGTAATTTAAATATCTAAAGGTTCCTGTAAAATAAATGATATAATCTAAAAGTTGCTGTGGTCGTAAGTGTACACATGTTGGACTCGTGATTTGATATTTTACTAATTGGCATTTATAATGTATGTGAATGTTTGTGTTCAGTGCCCTGAGATAACGTATGTTGTGACTTGGCGCTATGTAAATAAACTGAATTGAATTGAAACCGAAGTTCAGCTTAAAGGCCAGTTAGTGTTCATTGTCCACATTGCAATAAATGCATGGATTTTTGTTTTTTAATCCTAGGAATTTAGTAAAATGCACTTCAAACGGCTGGAAAATGCTTTTTTTTTTTTTATTAGTTTTTTTTTTTATTTCCTGGGTCATCATTGACATTGGCACTTGTAAATACATACAGGTTACATATACGTTATAGGTTCATTGTCGGCAGGTATGGTAAAGTGCATCTGTTTCATTATTAGACATAAATGCACTCCTGTCCCTTCTTTGTTTTATTATAATAATTTATATTGATTTCTTTAAGTCCAGTTATTTATTTATTTTCAAATTCTTTATGTTGTTCAGTAGCTGCCAATCATTGCTAGTAGAGAAGGTAATGCAGTAGAGGGATTGCAGTATTGGTACCACAACATTTTGGAATATTTTATACATAAAAATCAGAACACAAACAATTTCTTTCTTTAAAATATTGAGAAATAATAAAAGGATGGCCCTTGACCAGAACCAGACCCACCCCCACGTTTAAAACTGACTCAGCGTTTGATTTATATGGTACAACGGCCTGCCACACAGTTTTCGACGAAAACAGACCAGCTGAGCGGTGACGTCATGACGCAGCCTCAGCAGGTATTTAAAAACGGTGACAGTGGAGCTCGAGCTGGAAACTTTCCATTCAGACCCGTTCGTTGAAGCGTGTCAGGCCCCCCCTCCGCCCCCACCCGTCATGTCCTCCCACAACAACAACACGGCGCGTGTCGCCGCAGCCAGGAGAGTCGCTATCTTCGGAGGGACGCACGGGAACGAGATGTCAGGCGTCACGCTCGTCAACCTGTGGACGAAGAACAGCTCCGAGATACAGAGGAAGGGAGTCGAGACCAGACCTTTCGTCGCGAACCCGTGGGCTGTGGAGAAATGCGTCCGGTACGTGGACACCGATCTGAACCGAGCCTTCACCCCGGAGAACCTCAGGTAAGGATTCACCGGTTACAGACCGCGGTCCGGTACAGGCGCTGTCAGAAAAAAAACTTTGTTTTGGATTTAAAGCAGAGGAACATGGAGTCCCCTGCTGCTGGTCATACTGGGCTCTGTTTGGCGCGAGGCACTTGAATGCAATAAGACCTTAAAATACCAGCTCGCGTGTGATCCTAAACGCAACACTAGATATAAACATTCCACATTTCAAGGAGAGGCGCGAGCGTCCTCTAAAATGAACTTGCGCTCCTTGTTTTTACGTCACGTGGATTCCCATCTGCGCGCTCGAATGGCAGCTTAGTGTTTTGGGCCCAGCAGCCAATGAGAGTGGACCCTCGAGTCCCCGCCTCCCGGAGCGGACTGCAGCTCACAGACTGACGGAAAACGTGACCGAGCTGCACAACGATTCTGTAGTTTTTTCCTTTTTTTTGGTTGTTTGGCTTTTATCTCTGGTGCACATCACATACAAACATTGAATCATGATGCATCTGTGCACGCGCAAGCGTGAGACCTGCTATGGTTCTGATGGCAGGAATCCCCACATCTGTTTCGATGTAAACACAGTCTGATCAAATCTGTGCAATGTTTTTACTGAATCTTTGAACCATTGAAATCCTTGTGTACTACAAGGCAAATGCATTCTTAAAAATGTATTGCATTATTATTATTATTATTATTATTATTATTGTTATTATTATTATTATTATTATTATTATTGCAGTGTACTTTAAAAAAGATCAGTTTCATGGTTATAATGTTAGATCAATAAAAATAACATTTGGGGAAATAAAAAAACTTTTCTAAAGAGTAACACAGAAAATGTTTTATTTAACTATTGTAAAATATGTTCTATACACAGAACATTTAAATAATTGAAACGTTTCGTTTCAACTCACTGTGAGGTAAGGTTAAGTTAAATAAATCCAGAAAATATAAAGAGTACAAGAGAGGTTTTAAAATGTGCAAGTATATGTAATGGAGACACAATCACTGCACTTTTTGTGGCAGGACCTGGAGATTTATCTGAAAATTTATTTTATTTGTTTTAATGTAATTAAATAACAATTACAATAAATATAAAACATAATAACCAAGAAAGGAATAGCCATCCAAAACCTATTTACACCTATCCCATGTCAAGTTCGGAAATTACACAGAAATCCTCAAGACCGACAAAAACCTTCAAAAAAATAAACTCAGTACAATATTCTTGATACTAAATGTATTTCTACTTTTACATAAGCATATCTTAAAATAATATATTTGTTAACTCTGATACTGACTTCGTGTTCTCAACTCCTCACTAGGGGTGCACCAATAAATTGGCCAGTTGATTTATCAGCCCCGATTTCCTTAATTTGGGGAAATCGGAAATCGGCCAATACTTGCATCAGAAATCAATTTTACCTTTTTTTGTTTGTTTGTTTGTTTGTTTGTTTGTTTTAACAGTAATTGTCTGAACTTCATTTATATTTCAGAGCACTACCTCATGGCCTGTTAAAACAAGTTTGTATTGTTTCTAGGATATTGTTCAAGGGTATGCTTTTCAATAAAATAATATTGGAAAATTGAAGGTACATTGTGACCTTATTACTTCCTGACAGTGTCGCTTAAAAAACAAAATCGGTATCGGCCAAAATCGGAATCGGCAGGTCAGACTTTTGAGAAATCGGTGATTGTACAGAAAACTGCAATCGGTGCACCCCTAACTATAACCATATCATAATTTGACTCCCAGAAATGAATCACATTTAGATTTAACTGGTTCTAATTGGACAACATTCAGACATAAACAACTCTAGAAAATGATGTAGTTTTCTTCTTGGTAAAAAAAAAACATTTTAACCAGGAATGCTGTTATTTTAAACATAAAATGTAGAGTGGTGTTGTAAAAAAATATAATATTACATAGTGTAGGTTGTGATTTTCAATTGACCCAAGGTGTGTGTGAAGGATTCATTTATTGCAGCTCTATGATGGACTGGCAAGTGATCTCTGGAGATAGACAATGGGTAAATAAAATAGATGAATGTAAACGGTGGTGCTGGTGTACTTCGAGCTGTCTTCTGTCAGTAAGAAGGTCTCAGGATCGAGGGCCGGCCAGGACAGGGGCCATAGAGTTTGCATGTTCTCTTCGTGCATACATGGGTTTTCTCCGGATACTCTGGTTTCCTCCTACAGACCAAAAACCTAGTGTTGGGTTCACTGGTAACTTTGTCCCTAGGTGTGGGTGAGAGTGTGAATGGTTGTTTGTCTCATTTGTCTCTATGTGTCCCTGTAATGAACCTGTGACCTCCCCAGGGTGTACCCTGCCTCTTGCCCAGTGACTGCTGGATATAGGCACCAGTGACCCCCATGACCTGGAAAGAAAAAAACACATAAAGATAATGGATGGTTGGATACATTGGTGCTGAAGTGCAACTGTTCAATAGAAATTGTCCATAGTGCAACAACAAATGGCATTATGTAGTTAGTGTAAAGTGACTGGTGCCTGATGTGTTGGATTGTGTGTGCATTTAGAGATGGGATAAATAGGGTTTGCCATTTGTTGCCTTTGTCCCACGAGGGGAGAGGAAGATAGAATAAATGTCCATTCAAGGTCCAGTCTTCATGAGGTTAAAGGACAACCTGGTGTGTAAAACTGTTTTTAAATCTAGTCATGCAGATATGACCAAATAACCAGAACCTCCTTTCAGACAGCAATAGACTACAGAAGTTAGGTGGAGTGGGGTTGGGTGTCCTGTGATGCTTGGTGATGTTCAGTAGGGAGTGGAGTGGAGTGGAGTGAAGCACCAATGCTCTTTCCAGCTGCATTCATCATGCTGTTTATCACCCTGTTGGAAATGGTACAGTCAGTTTCTAAATTACATTGTTTTGCAGCTAGTCAGATTATCTTGACTGTGCCTCAGTAGGAGTACATGATGAATATCTGGGTATCTTCTCTGTCATTGCTGTTGGGCTTTCTTGACCAGTGATGTGGTGTTAATGGTCCCAGAGAAGTCATCTATTGTCTACGTGCAAGACCTTTGTGCTGCTCATCAACCTCACCGCAATTCTATTGATGTTCTGAGAAGGATGTGTGTTCTCCAGGAGTCAACAATGACCTTCTTCATTTTGCAATTGTTTAAAGAAATAATATTTATTGTTGCACTGGTGGCCAGTTGACTCACTACTGTGCTATAGTTTGCCATGTCATCATTAACAATGAAACTCACCACAATGGCATCATCTGAAAATTTTTACAAAAAGGATGATTCTGTAATCTGATGTTCAGTCAGGTTAAGGGCAGGGAACTGAGCACACATCCCTGGGGAACCCCTGTACTCAGTGTGATGCTGCTGAAAGTGTTATTGCTAACACAAACTCTCTAACCGGGAGTCTAGCACCTAGTTTTACAGAGAAATGTTCATCCCCTGGTTGTCCAGTTTCTGGATTAACTGCTGTGGAATTATTAATGATCTAAAAAAAAAAAAATGCATTATTTATTTATTTATTTATTTTTAACCAAAACAAAAACTGATCAGGATTGGTACTGCAAAACAGTCAGTGTAATAGTTGTGTACTGGTAATATAATGATGGAATAATGAGCAATTCTTATTTTTTGTTGTTGTTTGCTTGTTTGTTTGTTTTTGAAAGTCTGAAAAGTCAATAAACAAGATTTTTGGTTGTATTAATAGTGAGATATTTTTATTTAAAATAAAAGGAGCATATCCTGCACTGCTGCTCCACTTTACAGAAGTGACAAAGTGTTTTTAGTTGTGGTTTTGCTGCATCATCTTGTGATTTTTAGTTTATTTGAAGATGAGAGCTCTCATTGTGCGAGTGACGTGTCCCATCCTCAGCCTGCAGATGTTATTTGGATCTTTAATCTCTGCTTGCATGTTGTTTGGTCTCACTGCAGGCAACATGTAGAGGAGATTAGAGGCTCTTTCTAAAAACAGCTCGTGATATTTTTGTTTTCACCTCAGAGGGGCTGACAGATCTGCTTTTTCTCAAACTCAGCACCTGCATGTCTCTCAGCTGAGGATAGAGCCCACAGATGCTCCCAGCAGGCTTGTGTGTGTGAATGTCTCACAGCATGAGACTGTTGTGGGGAAACAGGGTCTAAAGTGCAGATGTGAGTGAGCTGAGGTAATGTGAACTGATGAGATGCTTGTTTTTTTCTATTCTTCAGTAGCTTAGAGAACGTTTTAGACCAGATATCGTTTGGAAAGGGGTAAGAAGAAGTGGCTTGTTTTGTGGCTCAGCCTGATAATCCGCTCAATGATCCTTTAGTACTTTGCTGTGATGTTCTCCATGCAAAGGAAACTTTTGTGTAAATAACTGACAGGCTACATCCCTCATTCTTCTGTCAGCTGAACTGGTTGGCAAAACGCAACCATTTTCTAACAATGTGAATCTTTGCATTTCCCATAGTGCAATGGGAGGCGATGAGCTGCCCTACGAGGTGCAAAGAGCCCAGGAGATCAACAGGATATTCGGACCCAAAGGAAGCTCTGAGGCCTATGACGTGATCTTTGACCTCCACAACACCACGTCCAACATGGGCTGCACTCTGATTCTGGAAAGCTCCAAAGACTGTTTCAATCTGCAGATGATGCATTACATAAAGGTGACCGCGTCTGAGCAGGAAGTCTCACTGTTATCGAACAAGGAGAATAACATGATTGCCTGACTTTAAAAGTGGCATAAAATAATAAAAACAATGCACTGAATATGGTCTTAATGCAGCCAAAGCACTGAGACTTTAGAAGACTTCAAAACGTTGCCTCGTTTTGAAGCAAGATTTAAAAATGGAGGGATTTTTTTAAAGCTCTGTAAGATGTTTGAGTGACAGAAGGCAGATGTATTTTTGGCTCTTTGAGTTTACAGAACATCATGAACCAAGCCGTTACTCAACTCTTATTGCATAATTATGTTGATGGTGAGCAACACTACAAAAAGCTTCTGTAAATTATTTAGCAGCTATTTAAATACTATAAAAACTCATTTAATTTTTAAGAATGGCTTATCATGATGAGAACAAGAAATATACACTTGATGCCATAAGTCTTTAGATATTCAAAATGAGTTTTTGCATCACACACTCACACTGCAGGTCATATACTGAGTATGGGCTGAAAACACAGAATGCGACCTCTAATTTTAAAGAGGTTTGTAGGTCATCTCTTACTCTGGTTCACATGTAAATGGATACAAACTACTTTATGGATGTGTGGTTTTAAATGTGGTGAGCATGCATGTCATATAAGTTATTGAAGTCATTATGATTGTTGTTGTTGTTGTTGTTGTTGTTGTTGTTGTTGTTGTTGTTGTT